CTTAGATTTAGCAGGAAATTTCTCACAGATCCAACAGCAATTCACAACTTCTAGCAGTTCTCTCTCTCTCTCTCTCTCTGATTGTGAGCAATGAGCATATTTGGAATTTGATGTTTTGCAACTGAAATTTGGAACCCAATTGAAAAAAAGAAGAAAAAAAAAGAATTTCTAAGTAAGAGAGGTTTTGTTCCGCTGAAATTCTCCAAATTTTTTAATTGTCTTTGTGAATAAATTTCTATACGTTTTTAATTGTCTTCGTGTCATCATGTCTGTAGTGTTTTCAATGGTTGCTAGAATTTAAATTCAAATGAAATGGACATTAATTTCTATAGGTAAATTGCACATAATTAAAAATTAACATATCATGTTAACATTTAAAAAAATTGACATATCATGTTTAAAAATTAAAAATAAACATTTTTTTTCAGTTTTTTTTAATTATTTTTGTTTATACTTAAAGTGTTTTGTTTTGTTTTGTTCAATTGTATAATGTTTAACTTTATGTTTTTTTTAATTGAGGTGTTGTTTTTGGTTAATATCATGTTTAAATTAGCATGAAATTAGCATTAATATTTAAGATTTTGTTTTGTTTTGTTTAGTTGGATTGTATAATGTTTAATTTTTTTTTTAATAATTAAGGTGTTGTTTTGGGTTAATATCATGTTTAAGTTGCTATTTTTTGTTTCTTAAAGAATTCATGAATGAGTCAAACCCATTTGGAGAGGTGCATGACACTACTAATAGTGAAGTTGATTTGTCATCCGCATTCGTATCCACATTTGCATCTGCATCTGCATTCGCATCCGTATCCACATCCGCGTCCGCATCCTCATATGCATCAACACCTTTACCCACTTTACCCATCCCTCAACCCTAACCCCAAACACCAACTCAAAGTGCACTTTATGCCCAAACACCACCTCCACCGAGTGGTCTTCCACCATTACCTCATTCCGGCCTAAGAAAAGAAAAATTGGAAGTATGAGATCACTTTGAGAGATATGATGATGTGTTTGAGAGTGTGAACAAGGATGGGAGCAAATATTTAACCACTAAGAAGAGAGCTAGGTGCAAGTATTGCTCTATTAGCTATGCGGCAGACTCCAGTAGAAATGGAACCTCAAATTTGAGGAAGCATATTGAAAACCTATGTAAGAAATATCTCGGGAGGGTTCCTAAAGATAAAAGGCAAAAATTCTTATCTTTTGACCAAGGACATGGGGGTTTTACATCAACGGTGCATGGTAAAGAAGAGTGGTTAAAGACATGTGTAGAAATGGTAGTAATGGATGATATGCCTTTTAGTATGGTTGAAGAAAAAAGGTTTAGGTGGTTTTGTAATTCTTTGAACCCCCATTTCCAAGTGCCATCTCGTAGGACACTTGTGAGGCATTTCATGACAATGTATGATGCCATGAAACAAAAATTGAAAGAATAATTAGCACCACATAGAGTGTGCCTCACAACAGACACTTGGATAAGTGTTTAAAACATAAATTACATGGTAATCAGGGCACACTTCATAGATGGAGATTGGAACTTGCACAAAAGAGTCTTGAACTTTTGTGTTATTTCTAATCACAATGGGAACTCAATTGGTAAAATCTTCAAGTCATGTTTGCTTGATTGGGGTATGAAGAAGACACTAACCATCACGGCCGATAATGCTTTTTCAAACACAAAGGCAATAGATTACTTGAAGTCGAAAATGGGTCATTGGGGAAGTGGTAGTTTTGTATTGTGCTCATATTGTGAATTTGATAATTCGTGATGAGTTGAAAAAATTGGAGAAAAGCATATTGTGTATAAGAAATACGATGAAGTATGTAAGATATTCTCCCGAAAGATTAGAGGACTTTAAGAGTTGTGTTAAGAATGAGCAAATTAAATGCAAAGGGCTTGTGGTGTTGGATGTGCCAACTAGATGGAATTCCATATATATGATGTTGGAAGCCGTTTTATAGTTTGAAAAAGCCTTTTGGAGAATGGGAGAAGATGATGAAGGCCCATATATTTCTTGGTTTGGTGAAGATGAACTGGTTCTCGAAGATGGGGTGATTATATCTCATTACTCTAAAAAAAGAGGGAAGGGCCACAAACTAATGAAGATTGGAACAATGCTCATACTTTTGTGAATTTTTCTAAAGGTATTTTATGATACTACATTGAAGATTAGTGTCACTTTGCATCCCGCTTCCCACACCACATTTCACGACTTGAATGCAATGGAAGAATAAATTGAGGATTTGTTGATGGAAGATGAGAAAATATTAAGTGAAACCTAAACCTCCAATGTTTTGAAGGACATGACACTTAACATGAAGATGAAATTTAAAAAGTATTGGGGTGACCTTCATAAATTGAACCAAATTTTGATGGTTGCGCTTGTTCTTGATCCTCAATACAAATTGGGGAACTTGGAGTTTATCTTGAAGATCTGGTTTGAAAATCCAGAAGATGCGGTTAAGAAGAAGAATGAGATCAAAGAGATTTTAAAGAAGCTTCATCGGGAGTATGCCATACCACCACCATCCACTCAAAGTAGTAGTTATTGTTCTAGTGATCCTACTACCATGAATACAACAAGTAGTAGCCTAAGCCGAAGGGGAAAGAAACGAAGGGAAATGAATGAAAATTGGAGAAAAGAGACTCAAGCAAATGATGTTGTGGATTTGGAGCATGAAATTGATAGGTACATCACCGACCTTATTAAAGATGTGGTTGACGAATTGGATGTTTTGAAGTGGTGGAAATTGAATGGGGTTAAGTATTTGGGTTTGACACTTATTGCAAAGGATGTGCTCGCCATCCTGGTACCAACGGTGGCTTCAGAATCATGCTTTAGCACGAGTGGTCGGGTAGTTAATTCAATTCGTGCTTCTTTGACTCCTAAGATTATGGAGGCCTTAATTTGCTCTCAAAATTGGTTAAGGTCGGATGACATACCTCTTTACAATATAAGCCAACAATTCAAGAGATAGAGTTCTATGAATCGATTGAATTAGGTATTTCTTTGTAATTTTCTGTGCTTTATTAATGTATTATATATTTTGTATATTTGACTAATGTTTTAATGAGTTTATGTTTTTTTTATATAGATATTATGAGTTCATCTACACCTACCAAGTCTGCTCCAGTTACTTTTCAATGTTAGGAGGAATTTAATAAAGCTTTGTGTGAGTTGCAATACTTGAGACTACATTCTTTTGTGGAGTTATTGCATGCTTGTATTTTGTTTATATTTTGCTGCAGTGGGATTATAATTTATTTTGGAGCTTATTTTCTGAAGTTGGATTGAATTTGAGTTATAATTTATATTTTATTGAAGTTGGATTGAATTTGGATTGTAATTTATATTTTACCGAAGTTGGATTGATTTTGATGTGTTAAAAGCTTGGTGGAAGTTCAAATTTGGGCTTGGGCATATTTGATAATTAACAAATTGGGCAGGTCTGTAATATAATAAATTTTTGGGCAGGTCTTAATAAAAATGGGCTTAGGCCCAAACCGGAAACCACAAGAATCGAACCAGAACTAGACATGTCTAGATGGGACTAAATCGGTTTTCATTTTCGGTTCAAGTTCCAATTTTTTGAGAATCTCGAACTGAACTGTGCCCAACGCTAATTTTTATCACAAATGATCCTTGAACTTTTTGTAAACCTCATTTTAGTCCACAAACTCTCAAATCAATCAATTAGTCCTTCGTTTTTTTTGTCCACATATGAATTTGCCATCTAACATCAAAACATTCCTTCAAATTTGTCACATGCCTTCACATGACCAACTTTAAAAAGGCATTTTTGTTAAATTACAATCCACCCACTAAAGAGAAAAGATAAGGAAGCTTTAGTAATATACCCAAAATAGGGGATGAAATTTAAAAAAAAAAAAACCTACATGAAATGCACTTTAGAAACATACCCAAGAACCATTTACTACATACAAAATGAGTGTTGAATTTCCTATAAATTACATGACTGCTACTTAAAAGAAGCTCAATACAAAAAACACAAAAAAACCCAAAACAAGCCCAGCCCATATTTAAATAAAAAAAAACCAAACTTAAGTACTAGAAAAACCACAAAAACCAAGGCCATGTCCTCACAACCCTTCCTTCTCCATCGAACCTCTACAAACCATGTCATAGAAGTACATTGTTAATACCATGTCATAGAAATACATTGTGAATACCATTTCATACAAAAAAAACATTGTTAATACCATTTCATACAAAGAAAAAAAACATTGTTAATACCATTTCATACAAATAGAGCATTGTTAACACCATTTCATACACAAAAAAAACATTGTTAATACTATTTCATATAAATAAAAAAACCCTCAAAAGCCCAGCAAGACATCCGATATACTTTGTAGAAACCACCTCCAATTGTCCATATGCAATAGTCTAAACTACTTTAATCTAATTTCGGGGAGGGGGACTTGAAAATCATAGCTCTTAACAACATCTCTTGGATAAGTTGAATCCACTCTTAACAACATCTGCATACTCCATGACTTTGAAAAAGAGTTCCATCTGCAATTGCCAATGCTGAAAGTTGCTCTTGCCAACAAATCTTGGAACTACACGAACTTATTCATGTTTTCCATGATTGAACTTGCTCTGATACCATTCTAAAAACTTGAACTAAATTTTGTAAGACAATATCTCATACAAAGATCTGTCTAAACCGGGGAAAAAAAGAAAAAAACAGCTCTAGACAACTCTCTTAATTAAAAATAAAAGACAGATTACAAGCACCTTAATATAAGAAGCGGTGCAACACAAGTCAAGTAGCAAAATTGATTTATCAGATAAATAGAACACAATACAGTGAAGCACAAAAAATTGCAATTATCTGGTGTTTGTATGCTTTGGTTTATTCAAATTATGAAACAAGAATTATTATGTAAGAGTCAATTGGTTTTATTAACAAGTATTAAGATTGATGTATCAGAAAGTTATTGAAAATCTTATTAGAGATTCAGGCTAATAAATTAAATCCACATTTTTGAAATTGAAAAATCCAATTAAAAATTCCAAACCCCCCCAAAACAAAGAAGGGAAATACCGAGCTTTCTCACATGAAGAATGTTAGAATTTATAATCTAAAAAACAAGTAGTATTCCTGCTAAAAGAATGCAGCTTGTGAAGAAGTTTGAAAGATCTTATTCTTCAGCAGTAGCACTTGCAGCACTTAGATCGACCGAAAGATCAAGAGCCTGAATCATTCAAAACAGAGAACGATATTTGTCATGAGAAGAAACTTAAACTTAATTAACAAAGTCATGCTCCACATCTAAATTGCTCTTTGCCCCATGTTCTGTCAATCTCTAAAGATAATACAAGCATTAACTTAAATTCACAAGAAAAGTTTGACATAATGGTTGAAACTGTGACACAGTTGCCTAATCTTGGATGATGTAAATAATATACTTCAATGAATACTAGAAGGTTACCTTCCCAGTAAGCTTTGTGTACATCGCTAGGACATCTTGTACTGTGGACTCAAAGTGCGTAGTTGCATCATAACTCTGCAAGGAATTCAACACTCAAAACCACAATGAAAATTAAAAATTTCTATTGAAAATGAGACATAGTTATATCTACTTACAGAAGATATGTAGCAACTGTCAGCTTGATGGTCGTTAGTGGGTACATATCTGTCATAAGTATCGTAGAAGATCTCATCTAATGGACCAAGTAGATCAATTCCAGGCTTCAATTCAACTTGAGGATCATCAGTTTCTGCTTCTGTCGAAACAAAAGCGATGAATTTTCCTTTTGGAGCTACATTGTGAGCATAGGAGCAGCAGAATAGGTACCTGCAACAGAATCTGTAAGTATCATAGTATGTTCATTTTTCATATTTATTTTCCGATCCAGCTTATGATCTAATAAATAACACAGGTACATATAGATAGGGATTAAGAAAGATTTCAGCTTACACAGGATTTTTCAATACTCTTTTCCTATTTCCAGAGGTATTGTCATTTTATTCATCATAATAATAAGAGGAGAGCAGTAAAAAGGATTCCAACATGGTCAAGAGCATAAGGTCTTATTATTAGTTTAGTTTTCAGTATCGACTTCGAACAACATTTTTCATTAACTCCAACCAACTAATTGAGTATAATGTCTCTGAGGACGAATCGTAAAGGAGAAAATAGGTGAGAGCTACCAAGACCAAAGTGGCCAGTGTTGCTCTAGAGACCATAATAAATATCTTAATTCCAGAGGCAAGCTTATTAATTTCAACTCCATGATTGAACAAAATACAGGAAATGTGTGTACTAGCCACGCACATATCTGATTTACGACCAAGTTGCTTCTGCGGCAGAATAACCTGGACTGAATGAGAATCATTGGTGTCTGGAATAGGATGGCTCATTATACATATAGCACGAGCAACTTTTCCAACTTTCCGTACCTGTTTTTACAACATCAGCAGTAAAAAACAACATGAACAAAGCCCAAGATGTAAAATTCTGCTTTAGGTAGAATGTTTCAGACTTGACAGATTTTGCATAGCATTGATCTTTTTGACAAGCTTTTGGTACATTGATCATGCGGTATGAGATAGATGGAACTCATACTGTTAATGTTTAAACAAAGGATACCTTATCGGGCAAATATGATGGATCACAAACAACTTTCTTGCATTTAGCTGTTTCTCCTTCTGAGGTCACACCAATAGCATTCCCATTATCATCAAATTTCACCTATAATCCGAAGCATAATACTATCAAAACAAATGCAACACACAAGAAATTCAAAATGCAGTGACAAATTTATTTCTTCAGCATGACAAGCCGTAAAAAAGGTTCAAACCATCTGCACGAGATATAGAGAACTTTCCTAGAGCTTTAACAGGCAAATTCAGTGCCCAGTGAGCACCTTTTACTTGAAGGTTTCTAAAGAATGAGAACCAAACACTTTTCTTAAACACGCACCGAGACACATGCAAAGGCACAAGGGTCTTTGTGCAAGCATCACAATGTTGCAAACCATACAAACCAGACCACATAGATAAAATTTTCTGGATATAAAAAAAAATTTGACAACCTTACCTGACACTCAGGCTTGTTGAGCATGTAAGTTCCACCATAAACAGCACTTAAACGTGCAAATGCCTGAAATATCTAACCCGCTCAGCAAGGAAACTAATATTAGCACAGTACATCTTTATGTAATTAGAGCTGCAAACAGACCTGAGGCAACTCTCCAAGTCCATATAGTGGATAGATATAAGGTGATCCTCCTTCAAAACGTGCCAAAGACTCTGCATAGAGCTTTACAAAACAAATGCTTGTATAATTATATAAGAATTATCAAGTGCTTATCAAGAGCAAGCTTAATCTCAAATCAACATTTTCCTTTCCACGCTCACTTTTTAAATAAATTGTTTAACCATCATTTAACGCTCCATCGTGAATCTCCAAGAAAGAGCAAATCATCAAGTATAACAAGGTTGGCTTAACTCCTATTAGATTATATACTACCGGGACTAGAAGCAAGCAACATTCTATAAATTAATATTATCGCTTGATGAACCGGCCAGATAGTAGCTGTGCAGAGGCTTAAAATTGCTATAACAAAACAATCAGGATACCAATCAACGGTACATCTTCTAAGTGTACTGCTCAAGCGAAAGCAGAGAATTGATAACTACACATGTATTTTATGACAAAGAAAAGAATACAGTTGAGAGATTTTTCTTAAAACAGGTCACTTCAAAACATATAGCAGAACATAGTTGAACCTTCATTTTCTTCACAAACTCCATTGCTGGCTCATCCAAGTAAGAATCATCAATATGAAGTGCCAAGGCATGACCAATAAAGTCGATTGTGTCATCTTCTAGCCCATATTTCCTACAATTTAATATCACATTAGTCATCTAAATAAATGCCATTCAATGGAGTGAGCAATCAACTGTGAAATTCACAATAGGACATCATATATACCATTTTGCTAACTGCTATATATAAATGTGCAAGAGATAAAACAAGGCAGTACAAATAGTGAAACTACACAAAAGACTTTAGTGTACAAATTATTACTAATTCGAGTGATTCATAAGTTCTCAAGTATAATGAATGCATGGTTGGGGAAGAAAGAAAGAAAAGAAGATGGAACAGTAAGTATACGTGATAACCTCCCTTGCAGTAACTTTGTTCAAGTCCAGCCCTTCATGAGATTTGGGATCATTCTCTTCAAAGTCTTGAACATAAATGAAGAACTTTCGAGCACGTCGCTTCTCAAATAGTCCCATCAATGGCGATTTTAGTGCTTCTACATCAGTTGCTGGAACTTTATAGATCTAAAACCATTAATTCTAATAAGTTTACTCTTGGAGATGTAAGATCTATTTCCTTGAATGTAACAGATTTGATTTGATATTAGCAACATATATCATATAGATGTACCTTCTTTTTGTTGTACACAAAGCTACCATCAACAGCCTTAAAGTTTAGATACTTGGTGACATCTGTGTGGATCAGGACACGGACCAAACCACCATTGGCCATCATGAACTGTAAGGGGAAATGGGAAAGAAGGCAGCAAACTTAATTACACATTAAGAACAAGGTGTTAAGTAAATAGGCAGAAAAACATAACGAAATTAAGACACGGCACGGCTAATCTGATGAAAAGTGAGGTCCAATGTGAAAACTAAAAATCAGGCATTCTTAATTTGATCTCTTAATCAAAAGTTACTAATTAAGGTAAACTCCAAGTACCTTTGGTATCATGTCAACATTGTACTCTCTGTTTGTGCCCAAACTTTCCGGAGGCTTGTCATCTCCCCTAAACCGCTTCCAAAGCTAGAGAGCAGAATATAAAGTTTGAAAGATAACCATAAACTCTTTTCAACAATTTCTTGCAAGCTCTTCGTATCAGATGAACACAAACTTACTGATGTGTTTCTGGATCGAATGGAAAAATTATGTAAGAAGAGGTAAGTACGTACCTGATTAAGATTTAGAGAGGTAGATGCTCCTCCATAGTAGTCATTTCTGTCCATATGCAAAACCTGTTTCAAGATTAACATCAGCTGTACTGAAAAAGTGGGCAGCATTCAATTCACAAATACAAATAGGAATCAAAATATTAAAGAAAACAAAAAAGAATCAAACATCAAGGTGGCCTATAAACAAGATGATCCAGAATGTATCTATGAATACTAATGAGAAGTAGGACACTATGTGAGAGGGGCCTGACTCCTACCTCAGAAAGATTAATCAATTGCAACAATTTTTTTTATTGGGACTTTTTTTCTTCATCAGGTGAGGGGCTACTCGAATTTGAGACCTCATCCACGAACATGGAGAAAAATACAACTAGACTAAGAGTTAGTAGGTAATATTTCTTTTCTCTGGGATTTACATGCATGTAACATTAATACTCCTAATAAAAATAACCTTGTTCTAACTATTTGGAGTTTACAAGATGAATCAATTGCTCCATTGTTTATCATCTTGGATCATATACTAATTTAAGTACTACATTATCATATATTTTCTAATAATTCTACCTATGACGATTAGAAGTTCAAACATAAAACCAAAACAAGGGCAAATAAACAAATGTGAGGAATTGTCAATTTGGAACAACTTCAAATGAGTGAGAGCTTAGCACAAAACCGTCTACATTTTTTTTACAAGACGATATTTTAAACTACTTTAATACTAAGAGGAGGATCGAAATGGGGCAACTGCGTTGGGCAACTGACCTACCCCATATGCGTACGTACGTAACCATCTAATTAACTATCAATTCAAAAATAGGAAGAGAATCACCCAATAATATATACTTCTTGAAAATAAGACAAATTTTAAAAAATGAAAGAATGAAAGGAAAAGCATTGAGTTACTTTGAGCCCTTCGACGGAGAGAAGACCACTGAGAATGCATTCCTTGAGACCCGTCCCAAGAACTATCACGTCGTACTCTTCATCCATGGCAACAAACCAAGCGACTACAGACTTTCAGAATTAACGCAGAGAGAGAGAGAGAGAGAGAGAGAGAGAGAGAGAGATCAAAATAATAGAGATGGAGAAAAGGAGAGAGAAAATGTGTGATTTGGAACAGGTCTTTAGCGGGAAGTAACGAGACTAGCGCATATAAATAGCGCTGGATACCCGTTGCCTACGCGCGTGGCCTATACCCGAGACATCAAGTGACGTGGCATTGTTTTAATATTGAATATTTGGGTTCATTTCTGATTTTTATTTATTTTTATCCGCATGTGCCAATTGGTTTTTTTCTTTTTAATTTTTAGAATTAAGAAAATATAAAATAGATAGTTATGTTCCATAAAAATAGGACCTATTATATGATTTGTTTTTAATTTGAATTTTTTTTAATATGAAAAAGTGTGAATTTACCAATTTAATTAATAATTTTAATTCTTAATGTTTGAACATGGGCATTTTCTGGTATTTTGAATGTTTCACCATTCTCTGTTTTTTGCTTTATATATATAGATAAGAAATTGTAGTGTCCAAAAATTGGTGACTCAATTAAATCGTTGGGATTGCATGTGCATGTGATTAAAGACTGAACTTTGGTTTTTTTTTTTTTTTAAACGTTTAATTATTCTTTTTTGTTTCAGAAATATGCTCGGTGAAATAGACATGTATGTGAAGAAACAGATTACCTGATAACCAAAACCGCATTTATTAAACACATAAATAACATAAAGAGGAAGTTATTCATGATGCCAAACCAGAGATGAATGCATGGAATGCCCAAGAGAATCTAAGGCATCCGCTAGGAAGATAGTCTAAACTTTATATCTTTAAATGAGCGAGCAAAGTGTTGAATATCTCTCCCAATGGTATGATTCTATATGAAGTTATGAACCAACTAAGGACCAGAGCAGCAAGCCAATGAAGTAACGGGAAAAGAGAGACTATCTTTTGAAGAGCGCAACATTTTGCTCTAAGAACTTTGGAAAATCCAAATTTTTATGTTGTTAACTATTATTCACACTAAACCTTTAATGAAGTAAAATCTTAATTGAAAGATGAGATTTACATTGTTTAGTATTCTATTTGAATTCAAATTTTTAAATTTAAAAACATAATTTGAGTTTAAAATCCAAAAATTTCGTTTGATAGGCCCAATTTTGAAAGTCCAAACTTAAAAATGCCCAAACACTTGAAAATAGAACAAACCATTTTTTTAAGAAATTTTTTTTTTCTAGAAATAGTTTTCAAATTACATACCAAACAATTTTTTGAATTTTAAGAAATGAATTTGAGAATCCTAAAACCAAAGTTTTTGAATTCCCTACTTAAATAGGATATCAAAAGTTCCAAAAATTACCCAAGTTTGGATAGCTCATCTGTTTCCGATCACTATGGTTATGGACATCATTCCATTTTAAGGGCCACAAAGTTAATGTTGATGGGCCTCTATGAGGTATACGAACATGCAAATAGGCCTCGACGGGAGTGGGCTCTCTCCCTCTCTCTCTCTGATGGTAATGGGGCAAATTGGGAATGGGTATGCCATTCCCATCCCCATCCCCAGTAAGTTTTCTTCCCTAATATCCCTGCCTCCATACCCGTAATTTTGAAATCGGGGATTTCTCATCCTCACCTTCGTTAAGGAACGAATCCCCCGCCCCTCCCCATTACAAAAATATCAATAAAAAACGTAAGTTTAATAAGAAAAAAATAACAAAAGTTCTGTTTTATACTTACAATTTTTATGTTATTGAATTAAATATATAATGTAATAATCTGCAACATAAAATTTCGTGAGAGTCGTGGACAAAGTTAAATGTCACGTAACAAGATATTCATATGAAAAATAAATAATGTATTCTAAATAGGGCGGATTTGGGTTCGGGTTTGGGATCAATACCATCCCTACCTTGCCCTAAAGATCATCATATCCAAAAATTTCCCCAAACCCATCCCATACCCAATTTCTATTCTTTATACCTGACCCATTAGGGTCTAAGTCCCACAAACCCTAACCCGTAGGGAATATTGCCATCCATACTCTCTCTCTCTCTCTCTCTCTCTCTCTCACACACACACACACATTTATTTTATTAATTCTATAAAACATGACAACCTTCTTTCAGTACAGAAACTAAGCACATCTCTCTCTCTTACATTTATGTTATACTGTTGCTTGAACAAATTTTTCCAAGCGAAAATAGGGTCAACACCTTCCACTGTTTACATACTTTCAGTTATTACGGAAGTAGGGCAAAACTTGACCATATACATAGCCCTGGAAACTAAAAATAATAATACTCATCTTTAGGCTAAATATCAAATTGTAAAAACAAATATGACTTATATATCAGAGCTTATTATATATTCAAGGCTGTAAGCTTTGGTCTTGAATAAATATATATGTATTGCGACTTGTCTTCTTCAACAAGAGATAATTCAACTGATCTTCTCCTCATGAGCTTTCCATCTTTCATATCCCGCTAGGAAAAGCTAACCTGCATGGCGTAAGAGAAAAGCTTTTATAGGCAAATAGAAGCATATGTCTTTTCATCTAGAATCTGTTTGGCACTAGTTTTAAATCAGAAGGGCTAAAAGCACTTTCCGATAATCAAAACCGCTTCGGAGCTTCAAAGCACAAGCGGTGAGATTGACAAAGTAAACAAATATTCTTCGATGAGTTGAACTATTGTAGCCATTAGATTAATGCAGTTAGAACTGTTTAGTACATTATTACATAAATAAGTATTAGAACCCAAATCTTGTTTGGATTCTAAATTAACTTCATTAATCTTCTACGAAAAGCGAGTGGAATAAGCTAACCCCAACTTGAGAGAAATGTCAGAGCTGTCGTGGTCTTGCGAAGGGTCTGAATGGATGAAATCGCCTATTGGCTCGGAGGATTGGCCTTGTTCAAGTTCAAGTGTTTGGACCTGTCGGTTTTCCATCTGTGCCAAGAAGACATTCATCATCACTAATTGGAAAAGAAAAAACACAAGAAGTAAACTTAAAGAAATTGAATCAAAGCCGTTCATATCATCATCTAAGATCCCTAGAAGCTCTCCAGGAGGGTCAGAAAGTTACCATTACCTGCTTCAATCGCTTGTTTTCTTGCATAAGTTGGGATCCCTGCGAATACAAGAGTACGGTGGAGGAGGAAAAAGAAATTATTAGGAAAGTTTACTCTTAATGCCAACAAATGTTGCACCATTTTCCAATTTGTCTGAGTTATTTTGTAAGAATTATTTTTTAATAGAGATGTATAAGATAGACGGTTTGAATTATCGAATTACAATGTAGAGTACATCCAACAAAACGTCTATTTGAGGAATCCCGCAAATATAAAGACAGCCCTATTTGTCAATTTATTTTGTTAAAGTTTTAATTACGCCTCTATTATTGAAACAATTTTAATAAATACATTATCAAAATTCCACTAGTAGTTTTCAATTACACCTCTAAATCTCTCCCAAATCAGTATATCCAAATGAAATCCTAGTTATTTTCTCACCTTTTATCACTTGTGTAATTGCTATATGCCATGTATTTATAGATCTCAGCAACTTGTCTCAGTATCATTGAAATAGTTTGTACTTTTTTATTATTGTCATCTCATCATTTACAGCAAATGTATTGGCAAATCAGTGTTAATCATTCAAACTTTGGCGCAAAATTCCTTGAAAAAAAAAAAAAAAAAAAAAAAAAAAAAAGGTTTCATATCTGACCTTCCACTTAAGAGAGGTGATCTCCTTCAGAACAATTTCACACTGAAACACAAAATGTTTATATGCAAGGGTACGTTGAAGAATTTCTAAAAGCCACAAAAATTAGTAAATCAACCAAACTGAGAGAAAAACAAACCTTTGCATCTCTAACACGCCTCAATCCTGATCCGAGCAGTTTCTCTAGTTCCTGCAACTCTTTCATGTTTAGTTCTTGGAGTTCTTCTCCCCTTAGCTTCCTGTTGTAGGAGGCACCCCTTATTGTTGCCAGAGTGATGTACATTTAAATCCCAACTTATAAACAGTAATAATGGATGCCGTTATATACCTCAGCTCATGTGTTTTCTCCGCAATTTCCTTGCTCAATGCGGCGGAAGTACTGCTCTCAAGCTGAGACATACAAAAGGACTGCAGTTCAATGAATTTTTTTTCTTTCAGAAAAATAATTTCATATGCAAGATGTAGAAGCAGTTAGGAAAGTAAAAATACCATGTTTCCCTCTTGTTAATGGATCACCAAACTCAAAGATTTTTGGTGGATTTGGAAAATACGCACAGCGGAAGTATAAAATGTGTTTAATGTGTAGAAGCATAACAACAAATTAAAGAAACAGTAGTAAAACCCTACATATATAGAGCTCCTATCCTCAAGAAAACTCATTTCTACTTAAAACTTCGATACAAATCTATAATTTTTCAATTCATACACTTCTTCACTCTATTCACTTCTCTCTCACAAAAAACAAAAGCAAGCCTTATTTAAAGGTCTTCTTTTAACTAAACCACTTAAACCCACTAACTTAGGGCTCGTTTGGGACTGCTTCTCTAGTAAGTACTTTTGCTCATAAAGATGTTGAAATTTTCAAAAGAAATCCCACTGAAGAAGCACTTGGGAGCGCTCACTGAAGAAGCACATAGCAGGTGCTTCTCCAAGATGCACTTCTAAACTCTTATGCCAAACACTGTCAGAAGTGATTTTAGTTGTCAAAAAGCGCTTTTAACCATTTCAAAAGTACTCCCAAACAGAACTTTAGTTTAATACTAACTCATAAAAGAAACTCTTCATTGATCCCGCTAACTCATGCACTTATTAAATAAACTAGATTAATAATAGTTAAACTCTCCAAATGATAACTCTTCATATACTACGCATTAATCTTTGAAATTACTGCCAACAAAGATGAATTTTCATTCGTTGTTATCATCAGTAATTATTTCCACCTGGTTAGGCTAGACTATATTTTATTGAAGTTATATAGAAATTTTTATGTGATTAATCATTCTTTCTTTTATTTTTTGTTAGGGGAGAGAACGATT